TTGATGTTATTCCATGTCTTCCCACTTTTCTGTACATCGATTTCTGTAATTCTTCTCCAGGTATCAGCAGTCTTCCCCTTGACCTCTTACCTTTTGGATTCTAATCCTACACTTTCTTTGCTATGCAGCTGCCTGACTTCCTGAGAGTATGTCCAATCCATCGCCACCGCCTTCTTCCTACCTAATCTCTCTGACTGGGTTCTGTCTTGTTTTCTTTAAAACTTCCACATTGGTGACCCTGTATGTCCATCTGATCCTCAGTAACTTCCTTAGACACCTGTTCAGAAAACCTGGATCCTCTTTATGCAAGTCTGTGATGCGTTCCATGTTTCACATCCATACAACATCTAAAGATATGAAAGCGGCCTGGGCTTTTCCAATGCGGGACTTAATTTCAACACCTGTTCCTCCCTCTCTGTCAATTATACTCCCAAGATAGCAGAAGGATTCAACGTCTTCTTAGTGCATTTCCTTCTATTGTGACCTGCCCCTTTCGTTGTGCATCTGTCCTTAGGACCTTTGATTTTCCGGGGTGGATCCTCAATCCAACAGACTTCGATAGGCAGTTTAATACTGAAGCCTTTGCTTGCATCTGTTCCTGGGTGTGCGACAGAAGCGCCAAGTCGTCTGCAAAATCCAGATCATCCAACTGTGTCCTTGGTGTCCACTGTATACCATTTCTGTGTCCACTGGTGGTTTCCTTCATCAGCCAGTCGACTGCCAATATGAAGAGGAAAGGTGACAGTAAACATCCCTGTCTCACACCAGTCTTGACGTCAAAGCTATCAGTGAGCTGGCCATCATGTACAACCCTGCAACTTGTCTCTTTGTACATTCTCTTGATGGGGTTCACCAACTTCTATGGGATTCCGTGGTGTCTCATTATCTTCCATAGCGTTGCTTGGTCTATACTGCCAAAGGCCTTCTCATAGTCAAGGAAGTTGACGATCAGCTGGGAGTTGCACTCCAGGGACTGTTCCACAATAATCCTCAGCGTGGCAATCTGGTCGGTGGTTGGGCGATTTTTCTGGAAACCAGCCTGTTCATCCCGTAGTCTTGGATCCGTTGCTGTCTTGATTCTCTCCAGAATGATTTTGTTGAAGACCTTACCTGGTATCGAGAGAAGAGTGATCCCTCTGTAGTTGCTACAGTTGCTGAGATCCCCCTTTGTTGGAAGTTTCACGAGGTGTCCTTCTTTCCAATCCTTTTGGAACTTGCTCTCATTCCGGATCCGGGTAAACAAAGGGGGGAGGAGGTCTGCCGTCACATTGGCATCTGCTTTTAGGGCTTCAGGTGGGATCTGATCAGGACTGACCGCTTTACCTTTGTTTAGCTTCTTAATGGCATCCAGAATCTCTTGTTTTGAAGGAGCATCACAGCAGATTGGTAACTCATGTCTTGATTGTATGATGTTTGGTGGGTTACTCGGTGGTGGTCTGTTCAGGAGACTGTTGAAATGCTCTACCCATCGTGTAGACTGAGCTTCCTTGCCATGGTTTTCCCCTCTTGGTCCTTTACTGGTACTTCAGGTTTCCTGTATTTTCCAGCAAGTGTCCTTGTGGTCTGGTGCTGGTATAGGATTAGCATGTGCCCTCCTACCACTGCTTCCTCTGCCTTCTCTGCCAGCCTGTTCATGAATTCCTCCTTGTCTTTTTTTTAAAACTGATTTCTTGACATCTTTAGCTGTTGTCTGTACTGCTCCAATGCATCCGCTCTAGATCCTCTTGTTCTATTTGCTTTCGCTTCTGCCTTCAGTTGTCTTCTTATCCTCATTAAATCCAATGAGTTTTGGCTAATCCATTCCTTGTGCTCCCATTTCTTCGCACTGAGTACTTCTTGACATGTTGTTGTAAAGACTTCTTTGACCTTGGTCCAGTGCGTATCCACCTTCGTGTCCTCTCCGCCAAGATCAGCCAGAGGTTGATATCTGCTTCTCAGCTGCAGCTGAAACTCTTATTTCTTGTGTTCGTCTAAGAGACTTACTTGGAACTTCGGGAGGTGGTCATGCTGTTGATAAAGTTGTTGTTGTTAGTGGTGATGGTGTCGGGAGTTGTGGTGGTGTTGATTTTGTTGTTGCTGGAGGTAGAGTTGTTGTTTTTTCTTCTTCTTCTTCTTCTTTTTCTTCTTCTTCTTCTTCTTCTTCTTCTTCTTCTTCTTCTTCTTCTTCTTCTTCTTCTTCTTCAT